GCTGACTAACAAAGATTTACGAACACAAGTTTATATTGTAATGGGGAAAAACATTTTAATTTAAAAAGCTAAATTGTACGTACAATTCATGGATTTTTTTACCGCCCCATACTCATTTCTCGTGCCATAGTTTCCTAATTACGCAAGCCCCGGTCGCGTGTCAGTTCACACTAATTTTCTCACTAGCCAATGGTGAACGTCTCATATTATACCTACCTGTTGATATACTCGATTTCAGTGAATTGTTTGTAAATATCGCTTGAAAGTTCTTTAAAGCAATGCACAGAGCACTGCGGTCACAGTTCCAGTCTGTGCCAAATGGGCAGTTAACGTTTTACTGTTCCAAAATTTAAGTACCCGTCGTACAATCGGCGATTATAATTTGGATTTTGCTATTAATTTTTTATCAATGTATAGTGTACTGATGTGCCAAGTGATGCAGAATTAAGGCTAAAGTTTCGGGTGTTTTTTGCAGAATTGAAAGCATGTTTTCATTGCAGTACATACGTTTATAGATGCCTTATCCTCTAATTAGCATCGCGATGTGGTTTAATAGTAAACGCGTGCGCATTACACGGTTTTGACAAATTGCCTATGTAAGTGCAGCGCGTTACAGCGGCACACGTGCGTGGGAGTTTACTGCCAACTGCCACTACACACACTAACGTTTATAGAAAATTTTCAGTCCGTGACTTATTACCTTCACGTTTACATTCCAATTTCCGTTTACTGCACTCTCTTGCAAAATTGTTGAGGCTCGAAATTATTCTGTGAATCGGGAATGAGATGACGATAATTATAAATGAACGCTGTTTTAATATACAAAGAATTGTACCTCTGTCTGTACCTACCTAGAACATGCGAATTCTGTTTCAGTGTAATAAAGCAGTAGCTGTGTAATTAGTAGCCGGCTACATGCGGTAATGTTAATTATGAAATGTTAGCTTTATGAAGTATTTGCTAACTAGTACGATGTTTTCATTATTTTGTTTAATATATTATGAACAGAAAATATCGTAGACGTACGTTTATTTGGCGCGCTGTATGGCGGCACGACGCGTGTCGGCGCATGCGGCGCGGCTCCTCGTGTCCAGGTGTTTATATAAAAAGAAACTCGACCTTAAAACATGGAGTCATTCGCGGTTAGCGTTAACAGCGCAAGATTAATTAAACTCTCTTCATAAAGCTCGCTGCAGTACGACGTACAACTCGCTCCGCCCTTGGAGAATACACAATAAAATATATTTTTAGATTCGCCCATTGCCAGCCGCAGAGGTACATCCGCGCCGAAAGAAATACTATGAGAACTTTACGTCCGCGGAAAGTGAATGTACGTGTAACGTGTTGCTTGTAAATATTGATTTGATTAATTTGACGCTTGGCGCTGGGGCGGGCCGCGCTGTACCCGCCTGCACTGCGCCGCGGCGCCGGAGTTTGCGCACCCGACTGCCCGCGCACGCGCAGCATTGATCACTGCGTTGACCGCTTTCAACCGGATTAGGGTTATCCCGCACGATTGTTTGTATACGTAACAGTATTATTTATTTTGTTATTCTATGAACAATTACACGATTGAAACAAAACTGATGCAAGCAAATTTTTCATTGCCTGTCAAATTACCCTTTCGCCGGTACTCTTATATTACCGAAAAGATTCCACGCCAACACAGGACAGCAACATTTAATGTCCGTCACGTTGCCAGCCCATCGCGCATGTGTACGTACACCAAACCGCAGTTTCCCTCCACAAGATGACTACAATTTTTATTTTCCGTTCGTATCAACATAAAAAATCCATTCATATTATTTATTACATTTATTCGCGTTCCGTTTTATAAAACAAATATAAACATAGCAATATAAATATTGTTAGGACGTTGCCATTAAGTTTATTTTTATACCCAACAAGAGCATTAGGTACCGAGCGAGCACTTGACGCGTTGCTGAGCACGGCTTGCTTGTCAACGGTTAACGTGGTGACGAGTTGGAGGAGACGCCTATAAATATAACACTTGAGAAACGATTAACCTGGGGCGGCTTTAGGTTATATAGCGCCTTCGTGCAAGTAATACAATAGACCTCCTGTATCACATACAACCAATGTGCAAAAGAAACAGTACTAATTATTTTTGGCTTATCAGTTAAACTACAAACTGACAGACGGTTCTTTAATAACTGACCCAAGAGGACAAATGTACTAATTATAAACATTAGTTTGACACGTAACCGAAACTCGAGTAACTGTTACGTTGAACTTTACCTTCAACAACGTTCAATGTCGAAGCTTTGAACGTTGGCGGCCGCACTTTTGTTTGTGAAATCATTTGTATAAAACTCCAACTAGCATTCATCACAAAACTACGTATTTTTGTATAAAAACAGTTGGAATCTGAACATCTCTGTTCTTGTTTACACCTGACCTTTGACCCTTTCGCTCGAAGTTCATGTACATACTGACAACTTTTACTCTGACATTGAACCTTGAGAACTGAATGTAGAGTCTATAAAATATTCTAATACACATATGTATATGACACCAGTTGCCTTTAGATAGACACTTTTCCACAAAACAGTGAAATGACTTAGAAGGTCTCTCTTTCTTTTACTTTCTTGGTACCAATTATAATCCATTTGTACCAAGTAACCACTGTTACATTAATCTTTAACAGTTGCTTTTCACTCTATACTAGTAGGCTAGTACGGTACTCTACCACGATTTATAAAATATTATGTTAAGTATAACTTTATTCTGCCTAAAGTTTTCCCTATATTAGCAAAAGAAATTCACATATAAATAGAACTGGGTAATTGTGTGGCCCTACACATTCAGTACTCCGTGATATCGATGGCGACTACGACTAAGCCACTCCATCTCGTGGGCGCAACCAAAAGATTATATTAAGCGTATTCGCTTTAGAAACTATTTGTAGACATAAATCATAGTTTGGAAACCTTGAATTGCCACTAGCACTATATTGTTGACTTCAGTAAATTCTAGATTAGGTACATAGGTACAATATTCGAACCTAACGTGACCAGCGGAATTAAGTGCAACTGATGGAGAGGTCATTCATTTAACACGATGCTGATGGTAGAATATGCGAAGTCACAATATTAGAGGTAGATGCTAGGAATCTCTGATATATATATATGTTCATATATATATAACATATATATATAACGAAATAAACGAATATATGTTCCTATACAAGACAGTTTCCTTAATAGTTAGGTAACTAAATATAAACTATGTTGCTATATTTAGGAATTAATAAAGGTCTTGCAACATTCATTATAAAGTGGGCAATTTTACAATGGACATCCCATCCATAGTTGATGTGCATTCGGCTAGACATCCAGCAATGTAGACCAGTATAAACTGACCGTTGAGTATGCGGGAAGGTTATACAAAGCGAGTCCTTGATAAAATGGATTCGTATAGGTTGATGTGTTCCCGTGTGTACCAGCTTACGAGGCAGCTTTCAAATCACTTTGACATGTTGACACATGTGCTTACTTATTCATTGGTTACAAATACCACTCACTACAAAATGCACTTCGATATAATGTCAGGCCGTTTATATCGTACCGACTTCAATGAATGACTGACTGACTGACAGACAAACCTCTATTAACTGACTTTTAAATTACCAGTTGTAGTTTCGTAGAAATTACAACAACTGAAGTAAATGTTGCTTAAGTAGGTAGTTAGTCATTAAAATTTTGATGCAAATATTTTAGACATGTAAATATGCTGATGTAAAATTTTATGAATAGATTTGATATTATCATCTGTCTGCGATGTAAATAGTCGTGTCTGTGACCCATATTTAAAGTTCAAGAATAATCCAACAGATGGTACTAGGGCATTTTACGATAACGTATACAGACCTATATGCGCACAAGCAAAGTTTACAGGTTTACTAACAGGAATAAATCAAGCAGGAACAGGTGAGAAGTCACTGGAAGTACTTAGATCATTGTGATCGAGCCTGAATTATTTTTTCTCTCTATTTAAAATCATTTAGCTCACACTAGTCACGAATTATGTTTTCCATAATTCATGATCATGACATGACTGTTTATGTATTTTTAATCAGTTCCATAAATTATTTTTTATTCTATACTTCGATAACGAATCTGTTAAATAGATTTGGAAACATTTAACCACATTTTGAAAGTTAGACATTTACCTCATTCGCATAATTACCTATACTTTTCCCAATTCAACATAGATACCTATTATTTAATTGACCTTAACAACTTTTGATCGCGACCCTGATACTAAAACAAATTTACTCGATCTAATGGAGTCTGAACGTGACACGCAGACGACCGCGACAGCTACATGCGAATGCACTAAGCTGGATCTCCGACTCACTCAAAATCTATTCAGATTTTAGGTTTCAAAATCTAATATGCGCCGTGACATTCGTACCTAATGTAATACCGAGTTTCACTTAAGAATATTATGTATTCACACCAATTTGTGTGGTAGACGACTAGACGTTCATCTTTAGCTCGTTCACATGTGGTCTGTCAAATAGTTGAAGCGACACTGGAAGCAACCGGCCCGGTTTAACACGTGGTCGGAGCAAATAAAAAGTTCAAGGGTGTTATAATTTTAGAGTGGACGCTCCTGCCGTTGCGTAAGAGTGTAGTTTGAACACACTGTGGGAATTTTAAGGGTTTTGACAGGTTGAGCGAATTGTTTATATTACTATCAACGGTTTCTTTATACTATCAATTTTACTGTTAGTTAATGCTCAGCCGACTGAAGAGTTTCCGTTTAATTTATGTTCGGTTCGTTTGATTCGGAAACTCTTAAGGAAAAATGTCTGTAAAATGGTCCTCCGTTTAGTAACTCATTCATAATGTTACAAATACATACTTATCTCACGAACTTGATATTTATATCAAAATACACATAAAAAATTTTCCTCATTCACAAACTTTCGAGGTCAATGTCGGTGTATAATAACATGTTTTTTTTTTGTACAGGTAAGCGGCCTGAAGTTTGAGACGCAATTACGTACACTGAACCAATTCCCGGAAACCCTGCTGGGGGACCCCACTCGGAGAATACGCTATTTCGATCCTTTGAGGTAAGTACAAGCTTGTCACTTCAAATTTTCAGATTACTCTAACTGTGTTGCAATTCTAAGCCTTCCGCAACTTCTCAATAGGAACGAATACTTTTTTGACCGCAACCGCCCCTCATTCGACGCAATCCTGTACTACTACCAAAGCGGCGGCCGCCTGCGGCGCCCCGTCAACGTTCCCCTAGATGTCTTCTCCGAGGAGATTAAGTTCTACGAACTCGGAGAACAAGCCACAAACAAATTCCGGTGAGTAGACACTCACATTGCAGACACACCATATCTGCAAGCTATACTTGCACATTATAATTTGATCAAATCCTTCCAGCGAGGATGAGGGCTTCATCAAGGAGGAGGAGAAACCCCTTCCCTCCAACGAGCGCCAGCGCAAAATTTGGCTGCTCTTCGAATACCCCGAGAGCTCTCAGGCCGCACGTGTTGTGGCTATCATCTCCGTGTTTGTCATTCTTCTTTCCATCGTGATTTTCTGCCTGGAGACCCTCCCAGAGTTCAAACACTACAAGGTCTTCAACACCACCACCAACGGCACTAAGATCGAAGAAGATGAAGTCCCTGACATCACTGACCCATTCTTCTTGATAGAGACCCTCTGTATCATATGGTTTACGTTCGAGTTGATAGTACGGTTTCTGGCGTGTCCCAACAAATTTAACTTCTTTAGAGATGTCATGAACATTATAGACATCATCGCCATTATTCCGTACTTCATCACCTTAGCGACAGTCGTAGCAGAGGAAGAAGATACTCTAAACCTACCGCGCGCCCCCGTGTCTCCGCAAGACAAGTCGACTAACCAAGCGATGAGTCTGGCCATACTGCGGGTGATACGTCTGGTGCGAGTGTTCCGTATCTTCAAACTCTCTCGACACTCCAAAGGATTACAGATTCTGGGTCGTACGTTAAAAGCATCGATGAGGGAACTTGGCTTATTGATATTCTTCTTGTTCATCGGTAAGTCTAACGTTGTTTTTAATAGAGATATGCGCCTCACCAATGTTCTAAAATATATTTGCCTACTCTTGTTCACTAATCCCAAGTTATTTAAATCTTTATATCAGTGCAGACAGTATTACTGTAGCTGATTTAATAAACATCTACACTTGAAGTATATAAGTAATACTTGAAAATATCAAAGCAAACCGTGTCATCGAGGTGTTTTGTGATACGGAAAGAAGATCGCGGGATGTGTATTGTGATGCAGCAGGCCGGGCCCGGCCGGGCGGTGAAAGTGGTGAGCGCGGTGCCGGTTACTTCAATTCCATTTTCCATTTACTCAGTAAAATCTATCCAATATTCAATCCTGTCGCAATCTATGATCCTAATTTAAAATCATTATCCTCAACCTTAGCGCGGTCGCGTCCTGACGGTGCGTTCACATTCTATTTTGCGTTCGCAGGTGTCGTGGTCTTTTCCAGTGCCGTATTTTTTGCTGACAAAGACTGCAATGACACTAATTTCGATAGCATTCCTGATGCCTTCTGGTGGGCAGTAATTACGATGACCACAGTCGGCTATGGAGATATGAGGTAACCTGTGTCGCGCCGCCCCCCGCCCTGCCTTCCCCGACCCCGCCGCTCGCAAGCCATCCTACCACTGTATGTCGCACTGTATTCTCCGTTGGTGTGTGCTTGTTCTTCAAGGTGTGGTGCTGTTTTCATCCGCGGTGTACTTCGCTGAGGCGGGAAGTGAGAACAGCTTCTTCAAATCCATACCTGATGCGTTTTGGTGGGCGGTCGTGACAATGACAACTGTGGGATACGGCGACATGACGTATGATACTGCGACTTCACCCTAAGTTTCATCTTTGCCTTCTCGTCATTTCATTTTACTCCCAACCCTTACATTGGTATATTTAACACTATTGTGATATTCTTTCGCCACATCATGTAATTACGCTTCAGTTTGATTTGATCGTCTGTTCGCTTAGAACTTAACCTATACACGTTTTATTCACATATACTCAGTCTCTTGCACGGTCGAGAAAGTTTCTTATTGTCTTGTTACTTTTATTTTCTGAAATGATGTTTGTGTCTTCGATACTGTCCTTAACCCATACAATTTTACATGGAAGCACAGTTGTAAAATTTTTCATTGACAAGACATGTTCAAATTAGGGTGCTAGTACCGGCCCCGTCGTCCGTGTGACTATCGCCCCTCCCAAAGCGTATTCTATTAAAATGAGAGAGAACAGCTTTAGTTGTACATTTCAAACGCGGTGTCGCTCGCTCCTAGCACTTGAAGTGACCGGTTGTGAAACAATTCTTATCCACTGTCGAATGTTTACTCCTCTGTATGGCTTTCGCTAGATGTGTACCGTCGGATGTATCCTGTTTCGGTGTTGTGGCTATTACGAATGTTACTAAAGTAAACATATCGAAAATGGTGATCGACACATCATCTCGTCGTGTATTCTTCTTCATAGCCTGCAGTAGAACTCTAAATAGAAATTGCTTCTGCACCCCGTGGTTCGACTATCATCGCCACTATCTCTCTCTGTCTAGTTGTTGGAATGCCCTGCAAACGTGTCTTTGATGGTAAATTTTACACAATAATGCTACTATGTCTAAAATGATTCATTGCTTTTTTTATATCACTGGCTTCCAATCATTAGCTATCACACACCATTTTCGATGATAGAGAAGTATTTAATTATTTATGTGTAGCAGTAAGCGTTCGAGTGCATGTCTGTCACGTCGTCCTGTGGGTTTGAACAATGTCCGTAGTTTATGTTATAGTCTAATCTTTATGCCCGTTTAGGTTATCTTCTTTTTATTTGGTTGATTTTATTTTCTCTGATTATTGACGTCCTTTGCAAAACATAATCGTGGCGTTAAAATGTATTTTGGTACACATTTAGATTTTGGCAACTGCGTTGCCAATCAAATGTTCTACTATAAATGCATTCTCGAAACACACAATTATTTTTTCATATGGACACACCAGCTAGCGTTACACAAACTGCATTGCAATGACTGGTGTTACAGCTCGCTGTGACACGCTAGCGAGTATGTATGTGGAGGAATGGTATTGTACTGCTTGCGCCTTTATTTCCGCGAAGCGATTGGTCTTACACATTTCCAAATTTTTACTCATTTTTTGTTATTAAGTCTCAGTTTTTCTATTCAGTTTTGTTTGGTAGTTGAGTCATGTCGTTGAAACTTATATAATTATTTTATTTATTCGTTCAATGACGGTATGTATTGTACATTTTAACGCATGAACATCATCAATCGCGTTTATGTTTATTAACATTATGATTCATTCGATTTTTACTTGACTAGCTGGAAGAGAAGCTTGCGTTCTGTATTTTAATAAAATACGTTTATGCTATAGGCCTGTTGGAGTCTGGGGAAAAATCGTTGGATCCCTGTGCGCCATCGCCGGTGTGCTCACCATCGCATTGCCTGTTCCTGTCATCGTGTCCAACTTCAATTACTTCTACCATCGTGAGACCGACCAGGAGGAAATGCAATCGCAGAACTTCAACCACGTCACCAGCTGCCCGTACCTGCCTGGCACTATGGGCGAGCCTTACCTCAGTAAGTACTTCATGTTTCTGCCTGTTCCGTATAATATCGTTACTGTTTCCAACATTCTTTTGTGCCGCGCAACCATCGAGCAACACACTGCGAATGTTGTCGACAGAACTGTAATAATGTGTTAACTTATCACAAGGTTTCATACATGTACGAGTTGTTCAATTGTGAAAGTCCCTTTTATTACAAATGTACTTTTGTTTACAGCATGCGTAGATTTCAAATTTCATTTTGACTGCATGTCTTGGTTTTTATTATTTCTCACTTTTAATTTTTATTTTTCGTTTCTTTTATGTTAATTTTCGGTAATTTCAGGTGGGAAGGAAGACGACGAGGTTTGCAGTGATCAATGACTGTTCAACAGTGTTGTTATTTATGTTTATATAATGAGGACTTAAGTATTCGCAAGAGACGATATCCGTGATATTACCGCGTAAGACACAAACGAGTGCAGTTTTTGATTTTTTTGTGTAAATATTTTAGTTAGTAAGCGATGTAAAATAATCAAATAAAAAATGTTATTTATTTTCTTTAGTTAAATTTGAGTTTGTTATTGGTTGATGTTATATTTTATGTTGTATATTTTTGTTTTTATATGGAGTGCTTAAGTTTTAGTTAGGTAATTATAAAGTGCATTCCGCATTTAATAACTCTGTTTCAATTACGGTCGCTCACGGAGGCGTTCGCTCGTGAAGGTATTTCACTAGGACCGTGTACCGACTGTGCAGTGTATCGCTGATTGGTAGGACATAATATTCCACGCGCTCGTGGCCACACAAACAAAACTCGAGCGCAAGTTGTCGACATACGGAACGAGTATATTTTTCTCATTGTCGTAATTATACCATGTTGCAGCGAGGGATATTTATATTATTTTAGGGAATTATTTTGGGAAAGTCTCGTCTACACGTAGCGTGTATGTACCAAAAAATAGTTATTTACGCAAAAACTCGACGTTCCGCGCCAAATTCTTGGACTGAGTCACGCACAATCAGCTTATTGTGTTAACTGGGAACAAAGGACGTAGGGATGAGACAGATATTGGTGTCAAATGGGGATCTGGCTGACCTCAATGTGGGTAGAGTCCCCTACAGTTATGTATAATTATGGGTACAGTTCCGGTATGGTAATAAATACATACGTGTACCTACCGAAATGGCCGGTTGACTTATTTTCCAATACATTACAAATACAAAACATCGCATTTACATGTAAGTACTTATTTATGATTTTTCTTTTTTTCCTTTTAATTTTTTTTGTGCTCGTGTTTTAGTGACGTCATCGTTTTTGGATCCGTTAAAGTATTTGGTATAGTATCATGACTGTATTTGAAAACATTACTGACGGTTGTACGAGTATTGAAGTAATTAGTATCAGTTTTTATAGTTGCTTGGGTATTGAGGACTCATCTATTAGTCAATCCGTATAGATATATTTATTCAGAATTAACAACTGACTTCTTCATCTCCTTGCTCGTCTAATCGTGCATTAATTACTAATTTAATTAGATAACCATTCCATTATTAGTTTCGTTTCTCATTTACTTCATTATAATGATTAACACTGGAAAAGGATGGACTCGGCTAAAAATCTTCGGAATCTCTGTGCACTCAATATTAAACCGCACAAATTGAATAATAATATTTGATGTTTATTTAACTACGGGACGCAAATAGTCATTTAACAGCTTGGACGGTTAATGAATAAGAAATAACTTGGGACGTAGGACATATCATAAATTTCGCGCATACGTATCAATTATGTTGTAAATCAACGACGGACGAAGCCACGTCCAATGGCAGCTCGCCAGACTACTCGGTGAACTTAATTTTGTTTATATTTGTAGTATTTCGTACTCCCACCGTACTCCCTTATAAACATCCATTAATATTTAGTGCTTTATATAATTCTGTTTGATTATAAAGCTAGTTTTTGTGTGTCAAATATTTTTAACAGATTTTCAAATAAATTTTTCAGTAACTTTAAAATCTAACAGAATAATTTATGACAATTAATAAATCTTAATAATACTTTACCTAACTCTAGAATCAAACATAAGACCCCTAGGCGGCACACGCGTTAACTAACGATGTTTGGTTCTAGAAAGCTTTTAGACACTTTACTAAACCTTGATCCCAAGTGTATGGTTATAGTGTCGCGCTGACGGCATGTGCACCGTCAGCGCTGATGAAGTGAGATATATGTCTCTGGGTAGCGTTTTTGGTCAGCGCCAACTACCAAATTCATACAGCTCGGCTTTCAGCGCTGACGGTCAGCACGACACTAAGACCAGCCTAACTTTTAACACATGCTTCGAAAGAATTTAATTATATTTCATTTCCACAATAATTTATAACAAAATTTAAAACTTCAAACTAACCGTAATCTGAGCGTCCCAATACATAAGGACACTGTGTCGCACGACCAGTTTGAACAATATGTATGGAGAGCCACCTGGTGTTCCCAACCCCAGTGTTTGTCCGTACAAGCACTTCATCATCCGTATGACTTCGATATCATGGCATCTGAACGAAATAGGGCCCTTACCTAAACAAAAATAACCGGTCTTGATTCAATCTAAACTAACTAAGGCGATCTTAGCTACAAGTACCTAAAATGTACAAATACTAGTTATTAAACCCCAAACTATCAATATTATTTAATACATTTTCAACCTTAGTACAAAATATCAAAGTTGGAAACGTATTACAGCGTCAAATGGGAACTAAGCCTGTCCAGAATTCAACATTGGTGGTACAGTTTCAGGTCCAATTCACAAAAAGTCTTCGATAAGCGGTGAATCATCATCGGACGTGATGGACATGGAAGAAGGTGCCATGGTGGCTGATTCTCACTTGGAGCAGAACCTCAGGCGCCTCAAGGATGAGGAGAAGGTCCTGCTGGAGCAGCAGGCGACGTTTGAAACCGGTGGCAATGACGACATCGGCGCCCTGGAGCACCAAGATGCCATCCGGCTGAATCACGTACGTTGGTTATTTTAGGGTGTCTTGTGTTACAACAGTCTTATTTAAAAGAAATTCGAAGACATTAATACTAGCATTATGAAGAGGTTTATTTGGATCGGAATTATATGATACCTATTCTTTATTAATTGTACTAAAGGTAGAAGTTAATACCTTTTATTTATAATGAATTTTCTCCTAATCCAAATTAATTATTTAGCTAATACTTTCATGTTAGCTAAAGGCAAAATATAAGAAATACAATACATTCAAGTAATGACAAGGTTTTGGCAGTCCCTTATTACACATTAACCTAATTACTCGAAGAAAGTACCTACACTAATTAATAACGACATTGTCAATAAGACTATATGTATTGTTACTCGGTGGATATTGTATTACGAAATTACTGAGAAAATAAAAGGCAACGTGACTGTGCGCTTGTCCCTGAAACTCAGAGACCGACGTCATTCACGTTGCGAAATTAACAAGGACGAGGTTGGTGTTTCACGTATTGTACATTAACAATAAGGACCGGCCTCAGTTTGTAAGGATTCACTTTTTACTTCATTGGGCTAATTCCATGACCTAGTACTTGGGAAAGGGTTACAAGTTCAGCGAGAGTTTTCATTGTTTTTATGGTTTCTTGAGTTGTACCTACCCAACTCATTGTTTGTTCGAAACATTTGTATTGCGAAAAAAGTTGTTAACTTTCAATTAACTAGGTCACGGGCAATCCGTAACACAAAGGTGGATATATTCCGTGTTTTTCTAAACTTGCGTAACCAACTTTAACATTTCATTTCCTTGAGTAGGTCCACTCAACATGATGAGAAACAAGCAGCATATGACAAGATGGTGATTACAGTCTGAAATGCTCTGATTAACATTCGTTAATGTTTCACTATGAGATGGTATTGAGTGGTGTATTAATGGATACGTGTGAACTGCCCACAGCTGAAGCAGGCTAAGCTGGAGAAGCAGCAGGCGAGGAAGCAGCGCGCGCAGCAATCGCAGGGACAGTCGCAGTCCCAGGCGCAGGCGCACAGCCACGGCCACTCAGGCCACGGGCCGCGCCGCGAGCACACCGCGCGCCGCCGCGCCTGCACCGTGCGCGTCAACAACCTCCACGGCGCTGAAGCTATAGAGACTGACGTCTGACTATCGGGTCAGTACTCCCCCCTTACATTCAGCCAGGTCATCATCTCCTCACCAGCACACATTAACGCTTTACTGGGCTACCCTCATTCGGCTCTGGTCATAACAACTATAAGACCATCACTACAAGTGCTTTTCTTTATTTATTTCTAATTTTCTTATATTATTTCGTTCAAGTCCAGCACTTGCCGTATGAGGGTAGGAAAAGCAATTTTACGCTATTGCTTGGTAAGGAGTTAATCATACCTTATACCACTTACCTTCAGTCCATTCGCTCCTCAAACTTCAGTTAGCTACATCGCTAATTGCCAATAGACAGATTTCGAGCTCACTTATTAGATATTTAGAAATAAATTTATCTTTTCTCATATAAAAGTACACAACAACAGAGAGACTTTAGTAGATATAGAGCGTTTTTATTATATTATTATTGAATATTTAATTAAGTCATTATTATTATCATATAGAAAATCATTGCAGATTAATATATTATACAAGTATTATACTATATTTAGCCTGGAATTAATTATTTAGCGTGTTAGCAAGAAGTTTAGTTGACTTGTACATACATGTACGTGAAAGTACTGAGAGCGTACAGTAGGAGAGCGCTGGTACAGCTTAGAATCAGCCATAGAGCACAAAATGTCGGCACACAGTAGCACGTCGCCCCATACATCATTCCGCACTCGTTGCGACCTGCGTCCTACATCGCGTTCTGCAACACAGTACGCTGCGTAACAACGTATCACAAAATGTTCGCGCTTTGTTCAAAGTTTTTTACATTTTTGCATCATGCTGGCAAATCAAGCGCGACGCTTTTCAATTTTGAATTTTTTTATATTGTAAATACATATTTGAATTAACTTTTTAACTAAGGTGAGTAAAGAAACGTTGAATATTCTAATATTTGTAAGATTGAATTTGTGTCGATTGAAGATTTATTTTGTGTTAGATCAGCAAAAGAACGAGTTGAAAAGCAAAAGTTTATGTTGAAACTTTTTGAAAATTTGTCCGGGTCCATGTTTCTATGAAATAAACTTTAATTTACGGGACAATTGCGGAAACTGCTGATAATTTTCGAAGAGGAAACGTTATTGTGTGCCTTGTTTGAAACTGGTTTACTGCAACTTGCAACTTGCAACTGTAACTTACAAGGTTTTAAGTTTATAGCTGTTTCGCTGTCGGAAAAGAGATAACGTGGTTTAACAATATAACTTCGTATGAGGGAAATAAGTTACATCGTCAAAATTATAACGAATGAATATATTTCCCTTTGTAGAATGAGTATTTGAGTAATCAATCAATTAACAATGTACAATGTAATTTACTCTGTTTGTATATATTATAACAATTATTCACGTCCCTGCTAAGTTTTTAACGTAAATGATAAAAAAATAAGTATAATAATACACTTTGAACAATAAGTTTAGTTCAGTTTTACGTTGTAGGTTTTTCAGAAATAACTGTATCGCTTACGGTATCTCCATATCGTTATGTTCGTATTTTACAATAGGTGATTTGACAAACTTAATGTTTTGGGCGATTTATATATTAGCTTTTACAGTAATAGGCATAATTAACTGGAACATATGGGATTATAAAGTAACATCTTTTAGGGTAACTGCTGTAAATTCATAAAAATTGATAGATATTTCAACAAGTTAGAGCTAGGCGCGATTTGTGCGTTGCGTCGTCGCAGAGTCGTTTTCCATATATTTTTTATGATATGCGCCATGATGTACGACGATGGACAGTCATCACGTCTGTATCTATACATTGCTAAAAAAGAACATTCATGTCGTCCTGCGTTGCGATGTCGTGCGTTGTCGTAACCCTGATGTGGCGTACAATGCGTTGTTCCATGGCGACGAAATGATGCGACGCAATGCAGCGCGTCTTTCTAAAAGAGCCTCGTCCTTACCCAATAAAACGCAAGAAATAGATAAAATATTGACATAAACAGTAACAATAACTGCGTCACTCTGTACACGTGTTCATCAATAATCGAAGGAGGGAAATGAGAGAGTTCCTCTTATATTACCTCACGGTAAATGCTTAGGGAGTGAGGATATGACGCATGTCTTCACTTGGAGAAGGTATTTCGTCTTAACTCGCTCAATATTCCCTTCCCTGTTTGTACAGGGTGTCCCGTTGACAGTGGCCAAAGGTTTTTTCAGCTTAAGAATATCAGAATTCAGTTCAGCAAGAACTTATGGTTTAAAAATTATGATTACATTTTTAAACTTATCCGATATTTCATTTTTATAGGCTAAACTGGTATCACTATACTGGTATAAATAAAAATACTGTTTTTTTAGTAATATATCGAAATCGTTTAAAATTAAAATGTAATTTCTAAACCATGAGCTTTCGCTGTATCTAAGTATTGTTTAAATGATCACTCAAGATGCTCTATAGCTGAAAAAACTGTGGGCCACAGTAAACGGGTCACCCTATATATTTTATCTGTATTTTATCACCAATAAAAGTGAGAATAAAATGTCAAGTATACGGTACCTATGTATGTTAGACATCGTTGATAATGAGAAATGGCCTAATTCCTGGTTATTTCACAATGTTTACGCATACAGTATACGGGTTGATATAGTTTTATAACATTTTAGACTTTACATAATATCTAAGAATCAAGTAGCTATCAATCGGGTGATGCAAATGTTTATTAATTAACTTACAAAAGTAACTGCCTCATTGACGGTCGCAAGTGCGATTGCCGGGCAAGGGATCTCGAGTTCGATTCCCGGGACGGAAAAGTATTACTGGGTTTTTAAAAAAAATCTCAGTAGTAGCACGAAGTCTGGAAATGTGCCCGGTATATGGCAATAGGCTCACCCCCTATTCCATGGGACTAATAACATAATTAGTATACACCCACTTTTCAGTACAGTGGTATTAAGAGCCGTAATGTGCAACTCTGCCTACCCCTTAGGGGATAAAGGCGTGATGTTATGTTATGTTACAAAAGTAAAGATCCAACCTATCGTCAATCTGAGCTGAGTTTTAAAACAGCAATTTTGGTCTGAATTGTGGGCAGCGGAAAGCACTGTTTTGGATTTTCGAACATGTTCAGTACCTATAGTTCAGATTTGTATGTTGGGTATAACATGTCTGTAGAAAAGTGAATGTTACATTGAATAGAATAGAAACTGACAGTGTAATGATATGTAATGTTCTTAAAACAAAGGCAACCAAAATGATTTTATAGTTTTGATAAATTGACGTAACAATTCATGTACAAATCACGTAACAACATGAAAATAGTTCGTAGGTGATTGTTTCATTTCAGCTTAATTTCAAATGATCTTAGTTATATTACAAAGCCTCGAGCTGTCGAACTATTAATATTGTGACAACAGACTAAAACATTAATATTGTGCTGTTATTATTATTCTCTGAATTATAATTATTATTCCAAACTATTCAGACTAAAACATCAATATGATGCTGTTGTTATTATTCTCTGAATTATAATTATTATTCTATCTAACTAATCGTAGTTCAGGAATATTGTTGTTACTTTTTCGAGGTTACAGAGTTTCTTCACAGTTCGTATTTACCTGCATTATGACGCCCCAACAACCTGCATTGGATCACAACTGAACATTGACAAAACAACCTTGTATAGTTGTCAAGACAGAAACTTTAACATTGTTTATTTACAAGCTAATTACTCAATATATCCCATCTTAGTCATTTTATGTTTTTGAAATTAGTCTAGTTATACGTAAAGCCGTCAGTTAATTTACTAATTACTTTGATATATCAACAGCCAAGTGACTGTATAACTATAAAACATGAAGTATTCCCTGGGTATTGAGTTTGTAATCGCCGATATTATTAACATGGTTGTGTGCGGCGGGTGGGGTGTGGGGTGGGGTCGGCGGGGGTCGTACTATTCGTTACACGTTTTATGAACGATGGCGATGTGTTGAGTGAATGGCACCATTGAGTGCACACGTCGCAGAAGTGCAGTGTCCTTGCGACGACGGGTCGACTTGAATGGATGCGGGAATCTGGATCGATAGCCGCTGCGGCATCGGCGCGCCCGTGACGTCACGCCGCCACGTGCTCGCCGCACCGACCCCGTAGTTATCAGCCGCCGACAACAACCTGCACCCTATTAGTAAATAATGTGCTGCGCCATTTTATACCGTCGCCAGACGTCTTACAGACGTTGTGGTTGTGACGCGGCTATCGGTGCACTACTGACCCCGTTTTCTAGTTTTTCCATGTTGTTTTTTGTTTAAGAGATTAATGCTTAGACATTTTTACTTGTTTTTATCGTAACATATTTTTAGAGATGTGTTTAAGGGAAATAAAACATATTCAAACAAATATTCTATTAAATTCTAATTCTATTTTTTGGGTACTAGCTATGAGCAAATCGAGCACAAGATATGAGAACTTGATTACATTATTATGCCAAACATATCAAACCTTATACTATTTTATGAAGATTACATTTTCAAATGATAATAGTCATACTCAAGGACGGGTAAGGGATTTAGGAACGCTATAAGACAATACTTTTCTTCCCAAAATTCTTACAGGCTTATAAGTCCAAAATGTAGGTCAACACGGTTATGCTGATAAGATTAATTATAAACAAGCTAGTTAACCATCTAAAAATGGTTAAATAGGCGGTGTAGCATCACTTTGAGTGTTTAATACTATTTAAAGGCTTGAAAAGAACAAGGAAATAGAAAATGCCTGTACGTAGCCAGGGCGGGTCACTAAACCCCTTGAAAATAGTCAAATAGTTGGCAGCTGGTCTACGCCGTAGCCCTCGTAGAGCTCGTAGCGGTGCTACGCGTGTGCGTATGTAGTAGGAGTTCGAATAAAAATATAACAATAATTATTTATGTATATCGTTAATCGTATAATGGTAAAAAGAAGTCTCTCTGTGACCTAGGGCGGCATCGATGTTGTCACTTCTCCATCCCCGTGGTGTTTCCCTCTCGTGTTTAGTTTGTATTGTCCTGTAAACTTATCCCACGTCGTAACTGTGTCTCCAAATCCCGATGATGGCCTGGCTATTTTAAATGTGTGTACTGTGAACTTGCTCTATATTTTTTTTAAATAGAAGCCCGAAATCATTCCAGACGTGGCGGGCCGGCGCGACGACGCCGCAGCGGCGGTGTGGCGCGGCCGAATGCCAGCGCGCTCCCCGCCGCCCTGCCACGTGTGAACAGCGTATGAGTTCGCCGCTCCTAACCCAAACTGCTGTTTTCGTCGAAACAAACACCCTCAACAAAATTAAACAATAATAAATTGTGAACAATAAAATTCCCACATCTTTCAGCATTTACAAACCTGGTTAAATTACTCAGGAATACTAAAATTAGGAAGAACTAATTTTCAAAAAAATATCATAAAAATACAATAAAAAATATTTTAAATATGCTTGACGATTGAGTCCGAAGCGCCGCGGATTTTGTAAATATACAAGACGCTTAAAGAGGCTTATACGTTCACTTCTTACATTATCAACACTGTGGAATAGATTAAAATATTAGGTTCTTTGTGACAAATAAAATAATCAGCATAGGCCTATAGTTGCGTTCGCAGAAGATATTCTCAAGTGTTGCGTTACGCTTGACCATAGTTTGTAAATAGTTGTTTCGAGAGGAGAGCGCACGGCGCGGCAGCCGGCCTCCGGACTGGCTCCCCGGGCCCAGTACGGCCGGGCATGCAGGGAGCATGCTCGCCGTCACGGCGGACGCGCTCGGAGGGCGCGAGGCCGGCCCGCTGGGTGACCGGCCACGCCGCGCCGTCCACCGCTGCGGTGACCGCGCGAAGCTTTCAGACAATCGAAACAGCTCAGTGATCATAAAAACTACAGCAATGGGACTCACAAATCATCTTCAGATCAAATATATTAGAATAAGTTACCGTATATGGAAATTTATGTTGTGTTATTGTTGTGCGTACACATATTCCAGTAAAAGTCATGTGTAATTGTACAAGTACCCGGACGTAAATGTAACCCTCTCCCCGGTCCTCGCGGCCAGTCCACGTCGTGCAACAGTCTCGGCTATTATAATTATTTAATGTTATAGGCGTATTTTGTCTATCGTGTCTATTCTTATGTTATTGATAATTTATTACCTTTAATTATTTGTATAGGGGTGGTCGTGCGGGTGCACAGGTGCTGTGCGCCGATAGTGCTTCGTCTCGTATTGAAGGACAGTTATATTTCGGTCGTTTACAAAGTCAAGATGAATGTATTAGCGTAGACAGTTTAAACATATCTAGAAAGAAGTGAATTTATTAATATACGTTCGTAAGTAAGGCATGCGACAGACTCAATTCGATCGATAAAGCAGTGCTCAGAACAACGGACCTCCTCTACGCGTTTAATTTTACTTTAAACGGTGTTTTCACAACACCCTGGACTCAGTACGGCTCCTCTCGGCGACAACTCCTCGCTCTGCCACCCTCAGTACTTCTTAATATCTATTGCAATCGAAATGAATTTCTCAAACGTCAGCACTAATCTGTCAACTTCAAAAAAGCTCAGCTTCAAGAGCATTTACTGTAAATAATCTAAAACTATTGTTTCCACCTGTACAAGTGAAGGAGCGCCGGAAAGTATTTCAGATTATTTTTCATATTTCCCGTCTGTCTGTCCATGGACTTGTTTACTCTTGAGTTGTAAATGAGACAATTGATATTGTTAAGTATAGATTACACCCGAAATAATTATTTCATCATATCAGTCACATTTCATAGCGTTTAAACATCTAGTAAAAATACAAATTTTACGCCCTATATTATAGTCTAGTGTAGTTTAGTAGATATTGATAGTAGGTTAAGTGCTGCCCTTATACTGGGTATGTAATGTCTCTGACCCAACTGTTGCCAGTGTGTTGCAATAAGGCCAACGACAAGATTTCGGCTTGATCCAGGCTGCCTGCTGGGCACCGAGCGCTCGGTCGTCCACTCGGGTTAAGTCACGCACGTAAAGGACTTTTGCACAAAACTACTTAGCCAGTGAACGAGTGTGGACGCTCGTTCCGCAGCACGCGCAGCCGCACATGCCGGAGCCTCGAGACCTCGATAAGAGCATGTTCCAAGCTGGTAATCTTAAATTGGCCTCAAACCTGACCATTTCCTCTCAATGAACATTCGATGTGATGTATAATGATATAATAGATTACTCAATATCAGTGTTTCGGTGTTAATTGATGTTTAATTAATAATTAAATTTACTATTTCTGTAATATATAAAAATAGAAAATTGTAATGCGTGGCTCTGACAGTCATGAGGCTCGCCGGTGCAGGATCGCAAACGCGAAGATTGAGACACGAAGAGAATTGTTAAGAAATATGATAAAATATTTATATTTAGACAGTTGTTGGATGTGCTATACTGTAATTCTCCTTTTGTATATAATTTACCGCAGAGAACGAGCAAATGATAGACACAGAGAAGCGAATTGTAGACCCTCAGTGACTATCAGAGCTTTCGCTAAGATGATGACGCAGAGCGCAGGCTCGACCTCGGCCATGACATATACGGACATTCAAACCCGACTCGAACAATCTATGTTGTAGTAGGGCAAGCATGTATAACTGAATACATTATAATATTTTGAGTGTCTTCGTTGTAGTGAATATATCAGTAATGTCTGTCAATTAGATACGAATTGTTTGGCAAATTAATTTATTATGATAGTCTTGATTGTGCTGTGTAAGTGTTGTCTGGTACAGAAGCGATCGATTGGAAATGTTGGCAATAATAAAACGAACGACGTTGCAGAGTAGCAGTTGCTGCACCCGTCACAGCAACATGGCATGTGACGGTGAATGTAACGTTGTTTCATTTGCAGAATGTAACGAACAGTTTACCAGAAAGTATCGCATGTTCAAAGTTTTCAGTCATAAATATAGTAGTAGTACATATATAACAGATTTACAATATGTGAAGACTATCATCACTTCATTTGTCAATGTATTCGATTTATGTTAAATGTTTAGAATTAGTGGACAATATACATATACTACATGTTGCGACATATACGTAAAACGCCGAGGCTGTTGCGACGAACATATTGAATGTCAATGTCAGTCAATGTTTGAACAGTATCGGCCGAAAGTCCTTTGGAGCCTATTACTTGAAATAATACGAAGTACCTCAGAGCAAGACAATTTATTTACGTCAAAGCAGACAACCTAATGTTTTGCCGGTAACGAAACCATAGCTTGAATTTAAATCGGCCAACGCCATCTATCGAGCTATGGGACAACACAATAAATAGTAGTATGGCGTTGGCCGAGTGCATCTTTTAAACAGATTATTTCTACACTGAACATTCCGCCCACCAAAAGGAATATATTCCTTTTCGTACCGCCCACCATGCATAAACTTAACAACTAGGAGAACAGTGGACTGTATGACAATTATATTACTATATTACGAATAATACATCGAGATAGATCTAGTGGACGGCTTCTTTTAGCAGACATTGGCGCGGACAGATATGGTTCCAATCAAAATGAATAGATATAAGTACAAAAACATTAATCTGGGTGACGAAATTCTTGATACCGGCAAAAATATCAGGTTGACAAAATTCTGACAAAAACAATATAAACTAAACTACTAAACATTGTAATCAATACATGACAGTGCACAAGAGTAAGAGACATTGTTATTTCAACAGTGCAGTATAAGAAAATAACATAATAAAACCTTATCTAAAAACATACGCAACTTAAACAATTAAATCTACAAGATTTTGTGCCTTATTCAGTAACAGGAAGAAAACACAATTTTGAAATTGGACGTTTAATCATAGAGCCCTTACAACGAACAGTGACAACTCGCGTCAAGTTATCTCTACCCGGATGCAGCTCAACAATTCTGCCATACAACCATTTAGCTGGAGGTAAGATATCTTCTTTTATTAAAACTACATCACCTATTTTACAGTCAGGTTTACGAACATTCCACTTATGCCTTTGAAAAAAGTTTGTTAAATACTCCTGTTTCCATCTACGCCAAAAGTGCTGCACCATACGCTGTACTAATTGCCATCTGCGTAAAGTGCTAACTGTGACACTTTCATAGTTGTAGTCAGGAACCATTACTAATGGATGACCCACCAAGAAATGACCCGGGTCAGAGGTGCAGGATCCTCTGGATCACTACTACCCTGAGACAGGGGCCTAGAGTTTAGGCATGCCTCGATTTGGGAAAGTACTGTGGACAGTTCTTCGAACGTCAAACTGGAGTCACCTATCACACGCTTCAAGTGGTGTTTTACACTTTTCACCCCTGCTTCCCACAACCCACCAAAATTAGGAGCGTGAGGAGGGATAAAATGCCATTCTGTTTGAGAGTTTGCAAGAGCAGCTGCAATGTCTTTGTACATCGAACTCTGTTGGTTGAAAAGCATCTGCAACTCTTTAGCAGCACCCACAAAATTTGTACCATTGTCGCTCCAGATATGACGACAGTGACCGCGCCTAGAAACGAACCGTTTGAACGCTGCCAGGAAACCCTCAGTCGTCAAATCTGAAACAACCTCTATGTGTACTGCGCGCGTAGCCATACATACGAACAAACAGATGTACCCCTTATACGACCGCTGTCCACGACCTTTGGAGACTCTAATGTGAATAGGGCCTGCATAATCGACACCGGAGTTCAGAAACGGCTTACTGGGAGTCACTCTGCAAACCGGAAGTTCTCCCATAAGCTGTTGATTCGTGGTCGCCGAGTATCGAATACAGCGAACACAACGACGTATATAAGCTCGTACAATATTTTTAACCCGACTGATCCAGTACTTGATGCGTATAAAATTAAGTACCAGTTGCTGTCCTCCATGAAAGGTCCTTTCATGAGCGTCGGCTACAATTAACTTAGCCAAACTTGAATCATGAGGAATAACAACTGGGTGCTTTGTATCATCAAGTAATGGTGAATACTGTAGCCTTCCTCCAACTCGCAATATCCCACATTGGTCGATAAATACATTCAACTTATATAAAGAACTCGACCTTTCCAATGGACTCTTATTTTTCAGGGCTGTCAATTCAGCCTGAAACCATTGCTGTTGGCTTTGTTTGATACATACATTCAACGCTTTGTGAATTTCGGAAGCTGACAGGTATTTTGCAACCTTAATATTCGCTTTACGAAGTTTTAATGATTGCAAAAATCTTTTACAATACGCAACAACTCTCACCAAACGTGAAAGTGATGAATACTTAGATCCCCAAATGACTTCAAAATCAGGCACTACGCTGGCAGTGTGAACATTAACTTGCTTTAACTCCTCATTAGTATGAATGGCACTAGGCCGGGTGAAGTCTATCTGAGCATTCCTTAACCAACCAGGTCCATGTTTCCAAAGATCATCACCAAGGAGAAATGCTGAAGACACTCCCCGGGAAGCTATATCTGCTGGATTTTCTTTAGATTTAACATAAGCCCACTGTGAATTGTCTAGCAAACCAAGAATCTCAGAAGTACGATTAGCCACGTAAGTTTTCCATCGACTTGGATGATCATTTAACCAGGCCAAAACAACTGATGAATCCGTCCAAGCATGTATATTTGCCTTAGGAATGTTCATTACTTGATTTACATCAATCAATAATTTTGCTACTAAAACAGAACCGCACAACTCCAGCCGTGGAATGGATATTTGCTTGATGGGAGCTACCTTTGTCTTTGCGGTTATGAGGTGCGAGTGTATTTGCCCATTAGCATCGACAATGCGACAATACACCACAGCCGCATAAGCTATATTTGACGCATCGCTAAAGCCATGTAACTCCATTATAATATCTTTTTCGCTTTTATGTATCCATCTAGGAATGTGAAAGTTTACCAGTTTCTTTAACTCTGCTCTATAATATGACCATTCTTGTAAGAGATTTGGTGGCAGTTCATCATCCCAGCCGATTCCACTAATCCATAGCTTTTGTATGAAAACCTTCGAGGTTATAATGCACGGTGCTATCCAACCCAACGGATCATAAAGCTTTGATATCTCTGATATAACCGTCCTTTTTGTTTCAGGTGCAGCAGGAGGTGACATCTTCACAGAATAATCAAATTCATCAGTGTTCCGGTTCCAGGTAAGTCCTAAAATCTTAGTTATACTATCCATTTTTATTTCAAGGTCTCTACCAGAAGTTTCCTTCAACTTTTCCAAAATGGATGGTCTGTTGCTTGTCCACTTTTGCAATTGGAACCCCGCATTCTCTAATAGACAATTCATTTCATCATAAATTAGTTTTACTTCTGTTTCAGATTGAACCCAGTCATCAGATCGTCCATATAGAAGTCTGACTTCACCCTTTCAGCAGCCATTGGATACCTCTCGCCTTCATCGCACGCAACTTGCTGCAACGACTTTACAGCTAAGTAAGGAGCGCATGACGTACCAAAGGTGACAGTCAGAAGTCGGTAATCCTCGATCTCTTTGTTTGGATTCTCTCTCCAAACAATTCTTTGATAATCTGTATCAGGTCGAGCGACCTTGATTTGGCGATACATTTTGACGATATCGGCAGCCAGACAGATCGGATGTTGACGCCATCTCATGACAATATGTCGCAAATCTGCCTGAAGAGTGGGTCCTACCATTAAGGTGTCATTTAAGGAAACCCCGTTCGTTCCCTTACATGACGCGTCATAAACCACTCTTACCTTAGTGGTTAATTTATCCTGTCTAACCACTGCGTGATGAGGCAAATAAACAGCATCGTTTTTATTTATTTCAGCCTTATCAACGATTTTCTCCATATGACCCAGCAATAAATATTCTTTTATTACATCAGCATACTGTTGTTTTAATTCATCATCCCTACCCAGTTTCCTTTCTAAACCTAGCAATCTTTTTACAGCTATATTTTTAGAATTACCGTATTTACAAAGTGGATCTTCGGAACGAAAAGGTAATTTTACGACATATCTCCCATTGACATCTCTAACTGTCGATTGTGCGTAAAACTCTTCGCAGGCCTGTTCTTCAGGCGTGAGAAGCTTTTTCGTTATAGCAGGTTCGGAATCCAATTCCCATAAACGTTTTAACATATCATTCTCTTCTATTTGAGTGTACATCGTGATTATAGTATTATGAGAATTTAGAGATCTATCTGCCTTACTGACATAGCCTGACACAATCCAACCTAAATGCGTGTCTTGTGCGACCGGAGAGCCTGTAGGACTCTTGATCAGACCTTCCTTTAAAATACGGCAGTATACTTCCCCCCCTAATAAAATATCAATTTTATTAGAACGACTGAAATTTGGGTCGGCTAGACGTATGCTGTGAATTTCTGGCCAATTGTCAAGGTTGACATTCTTATCTGGCATAACCGATGTCAGTGAACGTAGTACATGCGCAGTTACGTTTATGGTATAAGAGGAATCATGCAACGATTGAATATCAATATTCACTACATGTTTAGAAACGATCTTGCTATGCTCACCTCCTATACCTGCAATAGTAGTCTTTGAGACTACTCTCCTTAAACGAAGTAATTGCGCAGCTGACTCAGTTATAAAGGATGCTTGTGATCCTTGATCCAACAAAGCTCTCAAAACCTGAGAGGACCCATTTTGTGATTCGGCTTTAACCAAAGCCGTGGCTAACAAGACCTGACCCTGCGTTTGTTCATTCACAAAATGAGATGCTATACTTACCTTGACATCATGGACTGGCTCTGAAGTACATCCAAGTTCAGGGAGAATAGGTTCCCCTGACGCAGTAACCCCAATGGCTCCACTATGGTTCTTCGGATGTAGCAGCGTATGGTGTTTACGCTGACAAATACGGCATTTCGAAAAAACACGGCAGTATTTGGAAGTATGATTACTTCCCAAACAATTAAAACAGGCACCCAAAGATTGTGTTACGGCACGACGTCGTCCACATCTAGTTGGCAAAACTTCTTACAATTTAAGAGTTTGTGACTCTCCGAACAGTGTGGACATAACATATTAGTCGTACCGTGCATGACCTTAGTGTGAGATGTAGGATGATGATCGAGTTTTAATTTATTTTTAGGCTCAACGCATTCGAGAGCACGAAAACGTGTTTCCAAAAACTCGCAAAACTGTTTAAAGGAGGTAGATCGTCGGATGATTTAGTGACATGCAGTTCCCACTGCTTCCTCGATTCTACGTCCAACTTTAAGCTTGCAACGTAAATAATAATTACATCCCAAGAACTTACATCGATCCCAATATTAGTAAGTTCGTGCAAACAGTCACTGGTCACATCTAGTAAATCTTTTAGTGCTTTTGATGATTCATTTCCAATATTACGTTGGCCAAATAATCTATTTAAAATATATGTGGATACAAATCTCTTGTATTATACCTATGTTCTAACATTTCCCAGCATTTTTTATAGTTTAAATCAGTTATAGGTACATGTTTTATAAGCTGCTCCGCTTCACCTGACAGTTGAGTTTTTAAATAATGGAGACGTTGGACATCATCAAGTTTTTTATTGTTGTGTACTAATGACACGAACAAATCACGGAATGACGACCACTCTGTATATTTTCCGCTAAAAGTAGGTAAAACTATTTTTGGCAATCTTACCACACTGCTGTCAGATGAACCATCGCAACCTTCCTTCCTGGAGCTGTGAACTTTTAATTGGGACAAAACATTTTTTAATTCTACCTTGTACATTAAATAACACTCATAAACCGTCTCATAGATATCTTCCTGGAAAAAGTCCTGTAATTCTTCACTTTCGCAATCACCTACGATGACTTCATATTTCGCAGAAAAATTCTTGAATTGGGTCTCTAACATCTCTAAACGTGCATCGACATAATTGTAGTTTATCCGATCTCTCGGGGACTTCTTGTAATTTATCCAGCCCTTTTCAATTTGTAATTTGATATCTTTCAGCTTTCTTAGTTCTTTCTCCATGTTGTTTGTATTCATGAAAATATTCTAAGTCCAGTGAAAGATAGATGAAAATTCTCTAAGTGTCACTGACAGTTGACAATTGACAAATTTTCCAAGTCCAAACTATAGAGAATTTTTCTAAGTGTTTAATACTTGTAGATCGCTTCGAAATCGGGCATAGATTCGACGTCTGGTCGTTTTTCTTGAAACTATTCTAAGTCCCTGATCGAATGCACGCGAATTTTTCTAAGTCCCTAGTTTTAATGATTTGAATGTACTCACAGTTCTTTGTCCACAATTATGCACTTCACTTCACTACTACGAAGTTCACCGATGATTCCCGATGTATGTCCTCGGCAGCTGAGCACGTAGTCTTCCACATGTAGTATTGTTAACCGACAACTATCACCATCTCGTATCAATTAGCACAACTATATTTAATTGTATGTGTTCTTCCATAAACACCCTTCGGCTCGACTGGACCATGAACAGTATCGGCCGAAAGTCCTTTGGAGCCTATTACTTGAAATAATACGAAGTACCTCAGAGCAAGACAATTTATTTACGTCAAAGCAGACAACCTAATGTTTTGCCGGTAACGAAACCATAGCTTGAATTTAAATCGGCCAACGCCATCTATCGAGCTATGGGACAACACAATAAATAGTAGTATGGCGTTGGCCGAGTGCATCTTTTAAACAGATTATTTCTACACTGAACAATGTTAATGTATCAAGTTTATAGTGTAGAAAGCACGTTATGTTATATTTAATATAGTTTATGTAATCGGATAGCACACGGGTCCTGTTTTTGAACTTAATTGTGAAGGAAGCTGCAACGCGGCAATGTCAAATCAACTCCGCCACGAATATACTGAACACCCAGCTTTGTGCTTAATCACTCGCTCTATAACAAGGACCAACTCGAGTCAATTTGTCAAATCTCAACTTATTTCTAGTCTGTGAAAAGAGTACACATGCATTAAGAACTATATTTAATTACAGATTATGACGATTGTCCGGACTATCTCGTTCTTAAGAATTCTTGGGTCACTCAAACCTCGACCCTAGAAGGCGTTAAATAAAATTTGAAATGGAACGCTAATAAATAACATCTACAGTTGGAAGTTAAATAAAAAAGACAAACATATCACACTCCACTTGTAGCTTAATCACCATTTGAACTTTGAGGCATGTTGGTGCCAAAACAGTAAGATTACTAAACGAGATCTGACTGTAAAATCCATGGTGTTCAAAAAATTAAAGAGAGCCAAAGAAATATTTCATTGGACACTTACCGTACTAAATATTGTAAAGCAATGAACTGGGTGTTTGTATATTTGTTGTGTTGCAGTTACGGTGTGATGTGAAGTTGTGACTAAATCTCATTTACATTATGTGTATCTGTTTAATGTTTAACTAGTAATTTCCTGCATTTACAAATCTATCTCAAACTACGATTATGAGATTATTACGAGATATGAAATGGTCTTCAGCTTAGACTCCTTGCGCTTCAAAACGTACATCTGTGTAGATTAGAAATATGGTGTAAATGAGTCTTGGTCGATTGTAATCTATATACTTTAACAGATTTATATTATTGATCATTTGTGAAGCGCTTCTATCAGTCGATAGTCGCGTGTTTTTCAACTAGTCCCCGCAATTTCTATTCTTGTCTGCAGTTTCAATAATGCTGCGTTGTTGCGCACAGATGTCACAAGTGGTATATATGTCACTTTACGAGATGGTGGCGACATTCCAGGCCCGTCTGTTCCTCGCGCTGGCGTGCAGCGTACACTGCACTACGTGACCAGCTCGTGCGAGCGCCGGGGACACAGGCTGCGGCCTCAGTGTCGGCGGGCCTCGAGCTGGAAGGTCCGCGTGTGAAGGATCCTGTAAGACCTGTGTGGTCGACTCTCATAAACAAGAAACAGAATAGTGGTAAATTGTGAATTACTCAAGTTGGCCAAAATTGTAGTTACGCCAGTTAAAATAGGCGTATTATAATTTTCGCTCAGTATTATTAGTTGATATTTCGTACGTAGTGTATGTATACAGAGGCGGCTAACACGGGCCCGGTGCAAGCAGAAAGATTAAATTCTCAACCATCACACTTCATATTATAACATTCTCCAAAATTAAGTAATATTTTGTTGAAGAGACGAAAATACGAAAATGTCGTAGATAGTAAAACCACATAGATTTCACAGGAGAAATCACGATTTTCTATTTACTTGAGTACTACTTAAATATCAATCTTGTAGTTAGGAAGGAGTTGGAAAAAATTTAAATTTTTTAAGAAGTCTGAATTGTCCGTTATGACAGACTATATGTAATATGGTCTTTAGGAAACAACTATAATCAGTAATTTTATGAGTAAATTAAATTGAATTTAATTTAGGATTTATAGTTAGGTGATGTCTGCAAACTTTTAGCAGTGTGTGGTATATCTAAATCAGTTTTGTTTCAAGGATGATTGATATGTGTTGCTTGATTATTCGGCCGAGGGACGACTGTGGCCGTGGTGTTTGCATGAATTCCGAAACGTACGATGGGACCTCGCTACATGCTTTGCGGGTTTAATAAAAATGTGCCACTTTTACTTCTTGATAGATGCCTTTACGCGTGTTATTGCGCTTGTTCCAGTACATAGCGATCGCAGTGCTGAACTTAATATTAATGTAACGAGTCATGGCTTGTCACGCTGCTCACACCGTGTTTTATTGTTTTCACTGACACCGAGGGATGACGAGGAGTGTGACAGTCAGTCTGTACCTATACAATATTAACTTGTAGTTATAATTTTCTTTATTCACCGGCCCCCTCTCCGTCCAGGTCAAAGCGTGTTCATATTGGATATAAAATCACAAATTTCGAATTGGATATCGTATTTATACTAGCATCGATTAATATTTTACATTATTTATTTATAGTTCACTAATGATTGGCTATTTTTATCAAAATTGTTGTACAGAGCATTTATTCGTTAAGTGTGCGAAGTATACGTTAAAGAGGACATCACCCAAATGGGCTAATTTCAAAATTGTCGGCCAATAAATTCTAGAATTATTACAGAGCTCACCTAATTAATGTGAGTGCACAATAAATTAATCATGTTGCCATTTTTACATAAAAATATTCTTTAAGTCCGCAAAAATATAAACCTTGCGTACACCAAGCAATTCGATGCTAAGAATCGCCCTATTAAGTGAAACGTTTCATATTCAAACTTACATGTTTTAACGAAAAATAAATGGCCTCATAATTAAGAAGTTTATTCCAAAGACAGAAAAGTTTTTCGTATCAGAACCATGAGTCAATTTACCAGAATATCTTTATGATTGGAACTCAACGACAGTCAATAAACAAAAAATGTCGATATGTCGCGCCCTATACGAAAAATGTTAAATTATTAGTTGGAGGCTGAGTGATGTCATTTTTCACGTATTGTTTAATAAAAAAATGTAATATCGGTCAAATTAATTTATCGCCTATATCTTAACAATAAAACTGAATAAGCCAGCTACGAGCTTAACTTATTTTTTGAATTTTAATGGTATGTAAAAGTACTTGTATTTTTCATTACGTAATGTAAGTTAAATTGGAGCGAATTCTCTAGATACATAATTACATTATCCTCTTACATTACATTAAGGATATAATATTAAGAGCTTTTTCGACTAGTATACTTACAAAAAAAAATGATGATCTTATGAAATTATCAGAATTTTTCGCGATAACTTATTATATTTAATATCCATCCAGTATTATTAGATAAATAGGTGTAATGGTGAAAATATGCCATTTTCTAGCTCCTATAGTTAATGTAAAATAGGTTCAGTAATTGGGCAACAGATAAATATTCTTAATTAAGTACAAATTTTCCGATTTGAATATTTTTAATTTGTCACGGTCCCATCGCTCGTGAAACAAGTGTACCTCTTAGAGCGCCGATGTTGTTTTGGTTACTACATACTACTACTGCTACGTACATGTATAATTGATACAACGTCCGATCTAAACAACTTTGCATTGCCCCCTTGTTACATTGGCTTAGAGTTACCTATCAGAAAAAATTGAATGTGTCTGTTGTACTATTGTAAATTAGTGTGATTATTACCTATGTATTACGAGTTTATCGAAGTTGATAAATATTCATCATTTGGAATCTATTCCTTCGACTAAACTGAACAATTTGCAAGCCTGACATTTATCGACTTTGATAGAACGCAAGAGAGCACGGATCGTCTTGGCTTGAATATTATATATTAAAATTTATATCCTCTATTGGGATAAGAACTTCAAATATTAAATCAATGGTGCAATGTTAAGTGTATAATAGGGTCGAGAACATCGGTAGAGAGTCTGTTGAAGTTCGCCATTTTAAGGAACTTATGTTTGGTCAAAAATTATATTATCTATTTGTCATTTCGTTTTCATGAGTCTGTTTCGGAGTTCATCAAATCGTACGTGCAAATATATTTGGTAAATGTAACGAGCGATTCCATTCATAGTCCTGTACAGTAGGAGTTATTTGTTTAAAAGACATACTTTTATTTTCGTATAAGTAAGTACTTAGAGTTTGTGGATGAAAACATTAAGATCAGCAGGCGGTATCGTGGTACTATAAAGTTGATATTTGTGTAAAAGCAGTGATTGTTATAATAACTAAGGATTATTGTGTTCGAAAACATTTCAAACGATTGTGAATGTGTAATGGTGTACCATATCTTGTCTCAAACACGTGATGTATGAGTGAACATTGAAAGCATTCAAGGAAAGCGTCACAAAAAGACAGCTCAAGATTTTAGCTTACAAAATGTTGCAAAGTACTCTGCAAATAACATATGGGGATTTAATGAGATGCTCTATAATCTCTAGTACACACGTGTGGAGTCTGCGATACGTCTGCAACACGTCACTATGACGTCATCCACAAACTACCCACACATTGATTATTATAATATTTTATTTAGTTAATCTAGATCACATTCGCCACAAGGTGTATATATTTCGAGTCACTAAGGCCAGTGATCATTTATAATTTAATTTTAATGTGGTGGTTGTTTACAGCATCTGTCATGCGAAGCGAAGGCTCATTGATATAGTATTTACGAATAAATTGTAACTTAACGCTTAAATCGCCATCTTTGTCGATGGCTAAATATACACTTAATTAAAACAGAGCTGTTTCTGAATGATGCGTAAATTGTAAAGAATCTTTCTGAAAACTTTGTGAGTGGTCTGGACTGTGGAGTTTATTGTCAGTTTGGGGATTGTTGGGGTATTATTGAAAAGTTATTAATATCACTAGTTACATATTGGTTGCAAAAATGAATGGTTTTCTCCTGGGGTCTTGTATGTGTTGTTTTGCAAGAAACTCTTGCAAACAGAAGTAGAATGAATTAAACCAATTACGTATATGAAGTGTTTGTCAGAATTTGTCACGAAACAGTCTTCGAACCCACAATAAAGCCCGCCAGTCCAGCAACTTGAACACGCAACTATATTGCTAACGATCCCGTTTCGATAATTCCATGGTACCTACTTATATCTGGAGCTTTTTTCCAATTTTTGTACTTGAGTTGTACTTGGCAGTACTATGCTGTACTGTAAGAATGATTTTTTTCGTATAAGTTGTGAATCCAAATTGTATAAATGACTAAATAAAAAGAATATTGATGTTTCATTTCTGTCCCTTCGAATGCGACTTTCTTTGTATTTCTGCTCTGCGTCATACTGTAGTTTGACCCATAAATTGTATTGTAATATGGGGTTTGAACGACGGAACGTTAGTGTCATAATACAAAGATATCTCTGAGTTCTCAGTTATGGGTCAAAATACAGTTATACCCCTACACACCTTGCTATGCGTAACTAAGTGCCACCTACCCGAGTGTGGTAATTTGAGGCCTAGAGGCAATTTCATAATATACTACCACCATCCTTAATCACACTAATCAGCATTGAGGTCCAAACTGAAGTGCACTGCTGAAGTCTCAAGTTACCTCGA